GGAAGCCACCCTCTGATATCATATAATATATATATATATATATATATATATATATATATATATTTGGGCACCCACTGAATTAAACCACAATTGCATGAATTATACATTGATTATAAATCAAAATATCAAAGCAATTGGCACCTGCAAACAAAAGATTAGCTTCCTTTCTAACTTCACTTTTTTGCAATTTTTTAAAGACATTTTGTTAGCTATTTTCCTAACAGCTACAAATCCCACATCCAGAAGTTTCACTGCAAAATGACACATAGACTTTACAAACTATTTCTGTCTGAATTAGTAGGTCTGAGTCTATAGATTTATATAGCTCAAAAAACACTGCACAAGCCAGAACTGTTGTAGTTCCAAGCTCAATGAATGTTATGAATGTCTCTCTACAGTATCCACTGTGTCAGACTCTGTAAATAAGACATACAGAATGTGCTGTGGCGTGGGCCCCCAGCACCAGGACTGAAAACAACTCTTATACAGCACACCTCTGTGTAATATTCAACACTCTCTCCTAATATGCAGAGAAATACACTGATAAAATACATTACTGAAGAGTGTAAACATTGTGATCATTTCAGCATTGCTCGATTTGAACATCCTAGCCAGTTCAACATAGCAACATTTGTCCAAACAATGGCAGGAGTTTGGGGCCAGATCTTTGTCCAGTCAGACAGTGTTCTGGAAACCTGTTTGAAAACATTAGTCAATTGCAACTGTCTGTCAATTGCACCGGCTGTAACCTTAACATTGCCGTCACCATTCAATATGTGTCCAATTGTTTCTAGTTCAGCTAATTCAGTGGCAGTTTGCATAATATATTCACTTAAACAATGTAAATCACCATCAATGCAGAATTGATGTGTTTCGGGGTCATCAGCATTTATCTGAATACAAGAACTCAGTCCTGTAAGCTCCAAACCCTGACAGATCAACTCTCAGTCCTTCATTCCAGATAAACAGCCAGCTATTTATTGAAACAGTACATTAAATATTCGTATTGTGCAAAATTCATGCCATTTCACAGGACAGATTAATTCGTACCTACAATCTTGAAATCCATATAATTTATCAGCTGCCCATATACCACGATATCAGAGAAGCAATATTGTTTTTATACATTAAATACTTTGAGAACTAAAGTTCAGAACGAAATTTAACTTATCATGAGGGTGCCTTCTTTAAGTCAAGATCAACATACGTAAGAAAAATGACGACTCTGTGAAACTATGAATTATCAGCAGAAATCTACTAAGTGCGCCCTAATGAATGACATTTCTTAATCGGCTGAACATTTTCTTGATTACTTATTTTACACTAAATCTACATTCAAAAAAACTGTGATGTGATGAAAGAAACACAAAAACAGTCCATAAAACTACTAAAGAGAGGAAAAACAGCTATAAATCTGGCCATTCAGATGTTGATGGTGAGCATAAATCACTTAGATGTCATTCTAATAGGAATGTGAAAATAAAGTGTTTTACTATATGATTGGATGACCCCAGCATTTGGTGGAAAAACAGAGGGCTGAAACATGGTAACTTTTTGCCCTTCCTGTGAAGCTAATGGAGTGGTTTATAGATGTGACTTTCCCAGAGACCCCTCTCTCTCATACCCAAACCCTCCCACCTATTCCCTCCCTCCCTTTCTCTCCTGTCACTCTCTCTCTACTGGGTCTGGTTATAAAAAGCCACCCGCCAGATCTTAAATCAGGAAGCCTACTGACATTTAGTTTAACTCATGTCATTTTAGGAAACACCCATGGATATAACACAAAATTTTTCCACTCTTCACTCATAAGGATTTATCTTAAAGTGACACAGAATAAAGTTGCATTCAGCAGTAATGATGCGTTTAATCATAGACATAACTGTCATAATTCAACTGAAATCATTCTGTCATTTTTTTAGAAATTTCAATAGATGGAATCTCATTCCTTTTTTTTTCAAGTTTTGCTTGTGTGTGTGTGTGTGTGTGTGTGTGAGTGTGTGCGCGCGCATTTCATATTAACCCAATAATAAAAAATGTAAGTCCTTATAAAATGTAATTGTGAAATGTGTAAGCAGTCAACATTTATATTTACGTAACAGTTTTACTGTATGTCAAGTCTTAATACAAGTCAAAATAATATGATCAGGTCAAAACCCTCCAAACCGTTTAAATAGGTATTTCATGACTTTTCTTAAAACATGTCTTCTTTAAAACTTGTGCTCTAAGTATTTATTTATGTTTTTAATGAAGAGTTAAAGAGATTCATTATCCAGAACACATCTACAAACCTCAATGTTCAATTGAAAGACATCACTGTTAATTAGTGGTCAGCTGATAAGTTATTTATTATTATTATTATTATTATTATTATTATTTAGTGGCATCTAGGGTGCCACCATACTGTAAAAATTTAGTTTTTACAAAATAATTTTGGCAGCCATGGTTGTAAAAAATACTGAAAACTGCAAAAACATTTACAGAACAAACTGTAAATTTACAGTATAAAACTGTAATTTACAAACAAGAAAATTTTTGTGTAAACTAGTAAATTCAACAATGCACACTGCTACTAAAACTGTTTTGTATCTTTAACATAAACTGACAACTACCATAATAATGCAGGTTGTAAAAAAAGACAGCAATATGAAGAATCAGTTAGCTTCTCCACAAGCTGAAGTATATGCTAATATATAGAAGGCACACAGAGTCATTCACGCAAACACTAAACACCATCATGGTAACACAAAACACTTAAATAATGCAATAAACATTCATTAAACAACAGAAGATGTAACATTAACCCAAATGTACATAACTGATAACAAACATGAGAAAACTATTAAGAAAGATGATTATTTAAACAAAATACTTTCAAATGTGGAGTGTCACGCAGGGAATTCTAGGAATATCAGTTTACAGTTTTTTGACTGTAAATTATACGTTGATTTGTTATTTTTTACTTCTAAAAATTTTACAATTAACAGCATTTTACTGTAAAATTACATGAAATGTCTGGTTAGATATTTTACAGTTTTTCCCTGTATATAGTATGGAAACTTACTGTTACTGTAACCTATTAACAGTTTTTTTTTCCCGTAGCGTCTTTACAATATTTTACAGTTAAAATTACACTCATTTTTTTACAGTGCAGGACTGGCAATTATAATTCAATAGCAGCAAATAATTGCCACATGTAAATAAACTCATATTTTACACAATATTTAAACTAATAATAGTTTATTAATAATAATAATAGGCAGAACGACTGTCGGTCAGTTGGGTACAGTTACCGTACAATGCTAATAACCTTAAAACTGCCAAATATTGGCAGCTATATTATTAGTTTATCACTACTGTTAGTATATTGTAATGTAAACTCACCATTTTATTTGTGTATAATGTTTAAACGTTATTGCAAATGTAATCATTCTGAACACTGATGAATGTACTATTTAAACATTTTAGTCAAACTGAGATCATTAACAGTCAGACTAAAAAAAGTGATTTAGTCTAAGTTGGTACATGAACCTTTCAAGTTTTAAAGGTTCTTCAATAACAAGCAAAAATAATAAATCGTCAAATTTACAGAGACTCATCACGCAAACAGCAAGTGATATAATTAACAGAATTTAATTACTTAAATTGAAATAAGTGTTCTATTTCAGTTCTGAGCAATATGGCACAGCAGGATAAAGTTTGCTCAAGTGCGCAATGAGTTTGTCATTTAGAAACCATGAACGAGAAATAAGCGTCGTAAGAATAAATGTACATGTTGTCATAAATTCTCGCTCTTACCTCGTTTGCGCGGTCCTCTGTTCTCTGCTGCGGCAGTATGTAGTGTGTAGTGTGTACTGTCTGGGAGATGTGCTCGGTGATGAGTTGTGGCCCCTGAAGCAGCAAAAGAGTGTGCAACCGGTTTCCTGTGACATCACACAGCTCATCTGAGTGTCCCGTTACGCTGCAAACGAGCGCTCTGGTTCTGTCGCGTCGCGTCGCCAGCCTCGCTGATACCATGTATCTTGTAAGACTGTGCCCGCTGAAAATATTAATATGTTTAATGTAAAAGAGGTCTAATTTATAAATAAAAAGATCACGTAATTATATTAAATTATAGTTCTCCAATCCTGTCTGATTTAGTTAACTTATGCTTAATTTAAACCAAGGTTGAAGAATATGAAACAAAAATATTTTATAACTTAGAATATATTATAAAATCAAAGAAAACACATAAAAGTAATGGTATATGATTAAAAAAAGAAGAAGAAAAACAGCACGTAAACTGTAGTTGTAATATTTGTAGCACGACCGTTTGAATCCACGGAACTAGACGTGTGATTTGTGGAAATAAACTATTATTATAGCGCCTCCTTGTGTTTTAATATCTATATTATAGGACCACTGAAAGCACGGGGCAAGGGGAGATCAAACTGAATAGTCTAATGGCATAAATGTAACAAATATTTCAAAATGTGTCTATAAAACTTAAATTGTATTTGATTTAGTGCTTCCATTGGTGGTCAAACTGTCTAACACACGGGTCTTCAAATAAAATGCTTGAGGTCCAGTAATGAACCCTCCTCACCAGCTGAGGTCCGGACAATTATAGGCCTATAGAAAAACATGACTAAACATTGCTAAAATGTAAAACTTTTTAAGACCTTTTTAAGACCTGCACAAATAAAATTAACATAACTATTAAAAAAAAGCATGATTTAGAGTTCAGATACAGGTTTCCACAAAAACAAAAAGTTTTATAAAATGATAAACTTCACATTTCGGCCTTTAAACCATTTTTTGAAGAAAACAGAGTCAAAAGTATCAATTATTATATTAATTTAAACTATTATTATCAATCAATTATGATATTAGGCCTAATTAAATAACATAAATATATTTTACTGTATTAATTGTTTACATTTTTATAATACATTATCTTCTTGTCGATCCACCAGTTCATTTACAGCTCTGCGTGTTTGCTGCGTAAAAACATGGATTGATTTTCACATTGGTCTGAACAAACAGCATAGCTTATTGAAACTTATTGAAAATGCGAATTCATTCTCTGCCAACAGGTGGCGCTTTCGGAACGGCAGAAATAGCGGTTTCCCCGGTAAGAGCAGTACGTAAAGCAGCGCAGCAGATGACTGCTATACATAGGCCTATCTCATATTTATTCAATGAAATCATAGCCTTTTGACGTTTAATTGTCACATTAAGCCGTGACGCATCAGTTGGCGACCCCTGCGTCTAACTCATTTGCACAGGGTAAAAAGTGGCTATAGGTGACTAAAAAAATGATCTATTAATTTAAAATATGCAACAGTCCCCTCAGGAAATACGAAAATACAGTTTTAGTTAAAGTGATTTAACATATCAAAATACATTATTAAAATGTGATCAAATTTAATTAAAATATCCTGTTAAACAGTCCCCTGCTGCATTAATTAAGGAGAACAGGCATTTACACATACTAATCCTTAGGAATTCCTGTTTCTTGCAATTTTCTCATTATATTTTTTTCTTTTTTTATTTATACTGCAGGGCTGCTCTAAATTAGAATTTTGAACGCGAAATATTACTTAAATGTAATCTAGTATACAAAGCAATATACTAGATTACATTTAAGTAATATTTCATATATTAGTATACAAAGTATACTAGTTTACTTTGCTCTGGCAAAGCTATTTTTTTTTTAATAAAATGTTTTTTTTAGTGTAATTTAATGTGATTTGTCACACAGTTGTATTTGGACATTTAATTTCACAAGATATACATAAAATTAAACATGAAATTAAAAATTGGCAAGTATAAACATTTATACCAGAATAACTAATTTGCTGTTAAACAGCAATGTTTGAATACTGCTCGTTTTAATCTGATCCACTTGTAGTAGCACGGCCATTTGAATCCATGGAACTAGACGTGATTTGTGGACGTGCGATGTCATTGGTCTAGGCCTTCACTGTCCTTGTACTACCTTTGCTATTGCTGGCCCTGTGATCTGCCCTTTATGTCTCTTGATGAGAAAATGGATGTCCGCATTTTAATGAAGGTTTTTAGAACATTGAGGGATTATAATTCATCTGTAGAAACTGGGTGGAAATGACAAGTATGAAAATGTAAAGTAGTTCTAATTTGTTTCAGTTAAATATTCATAAAATATTAAAACCTGCATGAAAGGAGGTGTGTGACTGTACATTTAAATTCATTGTTCTTGAAGAATCAAAACAAAAAGTGAATTTGACAGGAATTATTTCTCTCTTTTCTAATACATTTTGTCATGTACAGTAGAATACAATACTGTCTCTTTTCGGTCACGGTGCTTTATTTGAGGGTAGGGCAGAGGGGGCTGGGAGAAGCTAGTGTCTACCCTTGGTCTTTCCATTTCCTTTTTGGGAAGATGTGAAATTATTCAATCCATGCATTGTAAAATACTTATTGAGATAATGTCAATCATCCTGACTGACAGGTGGGTACTCCCACACCTGCTTTGTTTTCCCAAAAGGACAGGATATGCAAATCATCCTTCTACTGATAAATGCAAGCATGGCTGTTGTCCCACATGTCAAACTTTAATGAGAATGAGTAAGCCATTTCTTTACGATTTTAGTGTCTGAAGCAGCTGTTTGTACATGTTATAGCATGGAGTCAGTTCATGCGCAAGGTGAACAGAGAATAGAATGGAAATATTAAATACACATTGTATTTTTTGCATTTTTAGAAAATTATACACACACACACACACACACATATATCAATCAACGTTAGAAAACATAAAAAATCACTAGAGGGAGCTAAACAGTCAGCCAAAGACTCAACATGGTTGTTGTTTAGCCTATACTGGCTAGCTTTGTAACATATATAATAATATATAATATCTTCATGCCTTATAGTTGCATTTACCAGATTAGAGCTGGGTGATAATATAGTTTACAAGTTGGGGCAAGTCAAATATGTTTTAAATTTTAAATATTTTTATTAATTTGTTGGCCTAAATAAATATTTTGTTATGCTACTAACTCATTACTAATTTTGCTTCATTTGTTTTACCATTAAATGTCTATTGTAGTTTCATTGTGACAGCTTACCTTATAAATTTTGTCAACATGCCCGCTATTCTGTTGCAAGAAGGTCTATGTATGCTCAGTAAACTTTTTTTTCTGTACAATGATGGTGGACATTTTCAGAGTGGACTTTTTTTGTAGCCAAGGCTTTGTGTCTATACAGAAACTGATAAATAAAACCTATTCTTAGTTATTCACTGGGGTAAAAAGTGTAACAACAAGCACTTCCACTTCACACTTTGTACCTGATAATAAGAGGAACATGGCGTGCAGAGCTGTCAGAAAGGATAACAAGTATTCCACATGTTGCAGCCTGACTCTGCTATTCTTTAATCTGACACACTACATCATAAACAATCATCATATCCATTCACGCAGAGACACAAGATGATCAAACAAAGACACACAGATTGGCACACACATTCCTGCATGTACACATCACCTCACAAAAAGAGTACACTTTTAGTTTCTTCAGACTATATAACTTTGGATATAATCATGCATATTTAGGATAGCCAAATAAATAGGTTTGTCAGCTTTTAAAAGGGAGGAGAACATGGTTTCCTTTTGTTGTTGACGTCAAAGGGTAATTTGGTACAAATTCATTTGTCATTTGGTTGACAAACTAAATTAGGCAGATGTAGGAGTGGAACCACCATATGTCCCCTCAATATTCAGATTAGCTGGACTGACATGTAGTTTTTAATGCCGATTCCTAAGTTATTACATTTAGTCCCCTGAGTCCTGAATGGTTACATCTTTGGCCAGATGCCAACATCTGGCTGTGCATTTTTCATGTTCAGCAGCCTAATGCAATATTTGGCCCAACATTTGTTCCATGTTTTAGACAGATAGGCTAAATCTTACTTCTGTTGTTTATGCATTTACAAAATTGTCATGTCGTGTTCAGCCTATGTCATGTTAAGAATTATGCATATTGTTGGGCAGTCATGGTAATATTAATACAGTTTAATGCTTGATTAAAAGGACATTATTGTTTAGTTTAGTGCAATTTACAATTTTGGCACTGCGTTGAGTCTCCACTTCATGTTCAGTGCTCAATTAAAAACACAGTGTAATGTTTTCTAATAAACGTTGTTCGGTGTTGTAGTAATATTTTGCAAGAATCCCAACTTGAATGTCTCAATTACTGAGAGCCCCCATATTAATTAATAAATTAGTTATTTTAATGTGATATGTTTTTGCCTCTCCATTCTGTATCCATTTCTCTAATTCAATGTAGTCTCATAATTACACTTTTCAAGTCAAGCTTCCAGCTTTTGTTTCCAAAGGCTTTCTACCAGGTCTATTTGAAAACCTCTTGAGTGTGTCACACTATTCTTCCAAAAGATTGTAACACATTTTAGAAATTGGAACAATTTGAATTGGACTTTGAAGCAGTAATGAGAATTCATTAATATGGCACTTATATGAGGAGATTTTCATTAGTATTTCTGGAAAAATAGCTTTTGAATTTCATTTCTAAAATGAAAAACCTTAATGGGGTCATGAATTGAGAAATCAACTTTTACTTGAGCTTTTGATATATAAGAGGTCATCGTACTCAAAGACTATCCTGTAAGTTTCAGAACTGAAAACATCCTTGTTACTGAAATAAAAGCTTTTATTAACACCAGGCCCAGCGAACGCCAGATTCTGGAATGTGCCTACCTTTGACGTAATAGATAGGTTAAACACCGCCTCCACAGAAGAATATCTTTTGAATAATAAGTAGGAGAACACTTACTGACACAGCAATATATAGCAAAAATCAAAAGGTAATAACACAAATTGGAATTCC